GTAATTTAGTGCTTAGAAAAATTAGGTGGTTTATTTGATTTTTATAAATTAATATGATGTTAGATTTATGCGCATATTGAGTGAACCTTAGTTTCCCTTTTGAAATTTAATACAAATAATTAAAATAGTGAGATTAACGTTCATGGTCTATGTTTTTTTTTTATGAAGAACAGAAGTTATGGATAAAAGTTGGTTATTGAATCGAAGTTGGATACATGCATCACGTATAAGTGATGAGTATGAGACTGGAGTAGAATATTTTATTGAATATGTAATACGAAATGCTAATGATGATATGAATGAAAGATTTTTTGTCCTTGTGTTAATTGTTGAAATGCGACTCGCCTAGAACTTGATGTTATAAGAGAACATCTTTTGTGTGATTGATATTTTCATTTGTATTAAAAAAGTTACATTTTAGTTTCTATAATGCAAAAGATAATTATTTTTTTTATATAACTAAATTTACAGTAAATAAATAGCTTTAATTATATCTATTGTATTATAAAATTAAAATTTTAATAAACAAATAATTTTGAACAGATAAAATATATTAGATTTATGATAAATAATTTATGTTCGAAAAAATTATTTTTGACAATTGATAATTTTTTAAAATATTAAAATAAATATAAAAATGATATATTTAAATAGTTAATTTTAAAAATAAAATAAAATAAAATAAATATACAAAAATGATATATTATGGTTCGGTGCAGAACCTACTCTAAGAAGACCTTATAACTATTTTATTAATCCACTGCATTTAAAAGTGTAACCTATCTCATCTTAATTCTAGGAGGAAGTTTATATACTCTCGGTAGATATTTTTCAAAAATTTTAGCATAATTACCTCGGATCCTATTTAATGTAATATATATAATTATGATGCTAAACTATTGAACCTTTATTTTAGCTAAGTCAATAGATAATTGGCACAATGGTATGCATATATCCAATTAGAATAATTTATTCTAATCAGCTTTAAACTTTGAGGGTACAAATTTAATCAAAGTTAGATAATTGATTAATTGTGTAAATAAACTATTAATTATTCTTGAATTCATGAAAATTAGAAATTGTGGTTTTAATTTCTATTTTTGTGAATTATGAGAATGAATAAATTCAAATTCTGTTGTTGATGATGAAATGTGATAATCTTGCGGCAAGAATTGGAATCTTAGATTAATAATTTTTTTTATTGAAATTTTCATATAATTGATTACTATTTGTATATATTTCGTTTGTTAATTTTGTGTATTTCAATCCAAAACTCCTTTTAATTGTGATAAATTTTAGATCTAGTGAATTTGTGCCTCCTAAATAATTCCAGAATCTAGTTTGTTCCAATACTACAAAATTTAGAAAAATCTAGTTTTCTTTAAGTAATTCTAGAATGCTATATCTTTATTGCATCGTTTGCTATATATTGTTAAATATATAGTGCATTTGATTACATCTTCGTGAATAATATAAACCTATTTCAGTTTGTCAAAAAATTGAATTCAAATCCCAAATAACGTTTACCCGTATTAGGAATTAAATTATGTGTAAAGAAATAATATACATCATTATTTTAAAATATTAAAGTTAAAAGTTAAAAATAAGAGAAATTTTCAAGTTCTGTGTAGCATTTTTCAAGTTACAAATATATTAAATAATGTTTGATAATTCCTATTTAAAAAAATAGTTGAAAATTACAATTACAATAAAATGCGACAATATTTGATAAAACAAAGTGTTAGTTGCAAGTAAGAAATGATATCTCCATTATTGTACGTATAACATATATATATACTTTTCTATGAATAAACAACAAATTTTTGCAATGCTAATTTCAATTGTAGAAGAAGTATGCATCCCACTATGAACTACAGTATTAAAAGTTGGATTGTCGAAAAACTTCGATAACAATTTTTATTTTCACCTAAAGAATCCTATGTGTTCTATAGTTGAAAAAAAAAATGCAGAACTAAGAGGCAAATCTCCTTAATCCTAAACTTTAATTTGTTATATTTATAGCTAGAAACAAATTTAACATACCAAAAAGAGGAAAAAATTGAAGAAAATGAGATAAAGATAAAATAAGTATATGTTAACTTTTAATTGGTATTTTATATTAAAAAAATAGTTGAAATAATGATTAAAACAAAAGAGCATCACTGGCATGTATTGATATATCAAAACTATAGCAATCTAATACATCATAAATAATAAACAAGAACAATTATAATACATAATTATTTAATTAACATATCAAAATTATTGTTATCCTTTTATCAACAAAATCATTAAAACAATGTTAATACTCTTAACCTTGTTGCAACAAATTCGTGAACAAAATTACATGACCAAGAATATTAAACTACAAGTCAATGTACTAGTTTATAATATATGGGTAGACGGTTTGGGACTAAAAATGAATTTAATTAATTATTGATATAATAATAATTAGAAAGTTATTTTGTTTCATCATTCTCAATAAAAATAAAGGTTAATTTTATTAAATTATTTTTTTATCTAGTTAATTTTTCATGGTGTATGTAAAATAATATAAAAGGATAGTTATTATATATATGTATAGAAGAGTATATATAATACATTATATATAACTACTACATGCTATAATTATTTTTTTTTTATCTAATATAATTACAAGTTATTGGTGTACAAGTATAAATAAGAGTTTCTCATTAGATAAATATTTGTATTGCTTCGGTACAAGTATGATATCAAGTACAATTACGGAATATGCAAGTTTTCAAAAATCTAAGATATGGGTATGTTAATGTAATTTAAAAACTATACTTTTAATTATATAAACCTAAGAAAATTGTATAAATGATAAAAAAAAAAAACACAAATAAATAGGACACTTCTAACTTGAACTATAATACAATAAAAATCTTAACATGAATATAATATCACACTTTAATAGTTTCAATCTCATCATTCCCTTCTCTATTATATGTGAAAAATAATTGTTTCTAACTCTAGTTCATCAAGAGAAAAGGTAGCAACTTCAAGAATGCCAACCCTTCAAATAGATCTCATTAATAAATATTTAGCTCTCTTAGAATTGAGCCTAATTTTTTTAATAGATTGGATAAAAGAATATGTGCTCTAAATTTTCTTATAATAAGAAAATGGTAATGGTTGTGAGAGAAGCTTCAATGCAACATATTGAAGTTTGGAGATTGTTGAACCATACTAAAATATAAAAATTGTATTGTGAAAACATCATCAATGAGTTAAATATATTTAAAAAAAAAAACACCAACAAAAAGTTGAATAGATTAATTTGGACATTAGATATTAATTAGAAGTATATATGGTGAATGATTTGGGAGATTGATTCTTGAATGTTGGATGCAGTTGTTGATGAATTATGTAGTGTCACTCATGGATGAGAATTGAAATTTGGGAGCAAATAACAATAATAGAAAACCTAATTTTTTTATAGACTTATATAGGTCTTTATTTTGGACTTGAGTATGGGTTTGATATGTATCCAAAAAGTACCTAAGTGTATCCAAATTAAGTATCCACCTTGTTACTCGTTTGGCAAGTATATCAAATCGTATAAGTAGTTCAATGAAAGTATGAGTATTGT